AAATGGCTGCAATATAACAAAGAGTGAAAAATTTAAGGGGGTCTGAATACTTTCCGTACCCACTGTAAGTGTGAACTGTGAACAGTGTGAATTCAGTTCATTTCATTGGTCTCAGAGCATCTTGCAGTTTTGAACACTTGAAAACATTAACTCAATCTCGGTAGGTTGTTTGATTGCGGTCCACTTAAAAGTGTGGTTTGCGGTATGCTCATTGTGCATTGTTGATACAAAACACTCTAGGTTTGCTTTTTCGCTACATAATTCACGCGTTGCATTGTGCCAAATGTTTGCTGGTGCAAATCTAGCGTAAAGGAAATTTCGGCAAAAGTTTTCATCCAAAATGAAGGTGCAAAGGTCTGTGATTGTTTACTATCATGCTTGCAGTTTCAATTAGCTTTGTTTTTTGTTTAAATCCAACAAGCGTCAGTACTCTTCTTGACATTTGGCCAGATGTATCGACACAAGTGTCCATAAACAGAAGAGCACTTTGTCATAAGCATACTGCTTTAATGGTATGAGTCAAGAACAAAGGTGGCAGTGCTTCTTGTCCTGAGGGAAGAGGCTGGTTGTTTTGTTTGTCAATGGTCCTTCTCAGCTGTATTAGGTGTTTGTTATTGTTACCCCATGGTTGCTTAGCAAACAGTGATGACCTGGCTAAGCAGGCATTTGTGTTTGAATGTCTGTTAAAGAATGGCCTGTTTAGACCCCCTGAAAGTCATCGATATAAGTTGCAGTGATGTTGTCTGTAGCGTGTGTGGAATGGATGCCCTTTTTTCCCAACTACGCTGACTATAGTTTTTATGATGTCCAGAACATTTTGGGATTAGTTGCAGGTGATTATTGATTTTTTTTTTGTTATTATCCTAACATACTTTTTTCATACATTTTAGTTTATTTGATCTTTTTTATGTGTATGTTTGTGTTGTGTGTGTGTGTGTGTGTGTGTATATGTGTGTGTATATGTGTGTGTGTATGTATGTATGTATGTGTATGTATGTATATATGTATATGTATGTATATGTATGTATATGTATGTATGTGTATGTGTATATTTATATGTATGTGTATATTTATATGTATGTGTATATTTATATATATATATATATATATATGTGTATATATATGTATGTGTATGTGTATATTTATATATATGTATTTATGCAATGTATACAATATTTTTTACCATATGCACAATATCTCGAGATTAGTTGCTGGTAATATTTGTTTGTTCAGTTGCCAGGCATTTTTTATTTAGATGAATTATTATATTTTACCTTTTTATGTATGTGTATTTTATGTAGGCCTATAACAAATTATTTTATTACGTTTATATTCATCTTAAGGCAAATTATTGTTAAATAGATAATTGAATTGGTTTTTATTAAATTTTACAAACATTTGTTGAAGTCAATGAAATGATAGTTTGTTTATAAATTGACACATTTGACTTTTTTTCTTCTTTTTTTTCCCCCTCAACAGGTTCAGATGTGAATAGCATGGATTCAGTGGACAGCTGTTCGACCTTGGGGACGGGAGACAGCCAGCCGAGTGGCAGCCAGACCTGTCAATCACAGAGTTCTGAGCTTATTGTGTGGGAGATTGAGGTGCCAAAGGTACGATTCCCTTAAATGCTTAATTCTGCTTCACATTTAGTACTTCAGCCATCAATCAAAAGTTTTTCTTAAAGTATTTTAGCAGTTTTTAAGGAAAACTCAGGCAGATGTTTGTTAACAGCTCTTTATCTGAATGTCAAAGCACAGCAGCTTTTGTCAGTGTGCTAGCTTTCTTACCTTTTGTATGAATCTATTAAAACTTGCTTTGATATCTGTGGTTCTCCTCTGATTTTGTAGCATCTAGTGGGACGGCTAATTGGCAAACAAGGGAGATACGTAAGCTTCCTGAAGCAGAGCTCTGGTGCTAAGATCTACATTTCAACCCTGCCTTACACTCAAGAGTTTCAGATCTGCCATATAGAGGGTAAGTGAGTCTCTATGAAAGGCCACAATCTTGGTTCATCCATGGCCTTCTTGAATTGATTGTTTTTGTGGTTTTGTTTGTTTCTTAGGAACCCAGCAGCAGGTAGATAAGGCGCTGGCCTTGATTGGGAAGAAGTTCAAAGACTTGGACCTGACCAACTTGTACGCCCCACCTCCCCCACCGCTAACGCTGCCCTCTCTGCCCATGACTTCCTGGGTAAGATTGTCCCCTACCTCCTGCAGACTACATAGGCAGCTACCATCTAAAGCCGGGACACACCAAGCCGGCGGTTGGGCAATGTCAGGTGGTTTTTGAGTGTCGGTCTGCCTTTTTTTTTGGTTCCAAATGGTTGGCTCTAGTCGGCTTTTTTTTGCGGTCAATTCCTTATGTCGAATCGGTGGCGGAGCTCATTTATGAGAGAGAACTCCACCTCGCTATTCAGCTTAGTGAATGAGCACACAAGAAAAAAACGTAACTGACGAAAGCAACCAATGACGGATTAAAGAGGGAATGCACACATCTGTCATTCTATTAGTTTCTTTATTTATTCACAGTTTAGCAGACATGATTGAAAGCTACATTGCTTTGTTTGTATATCCACAGTTCTAGCTCTTCCGGTTTTCCTGTTTGAATGCCGAATGCAGATTACTGCCACCTGCTGGTATGGAAGAGTTATGTTCTCTCATGCAAGGGCAAGCATACATGCTAGTTGGCTGTCGGCTGTAGTCTGTCCGGTGTGCTCTAGTGCAACATTTTTGCCACGACGCAGGTGACGTGAGGCTCCACAGTTGGCTTTCTTAAGTACTAGTTCTTTGGCAACGGTTTGGTGTGTCCCTACCCTAAAGCAGGATTCTGACTTTCTCTCAGGGATCTTTTTATTTTTGTCAAACATTAACCTAAACATGTAGTTCTGTCCTAAATGATTTAAACTGCAGAGTCCAAGACTTTTGGCATTTTAACATAGTTCTTCATTGGATCTGTCTGTTACAGCTTTTGTTGCCCAATGGAGTGACGGTCGAGGTGATCATTGTGAACATTGTATCAGCCGGTCACCTGTTTGTCCAACAGCACACTCACCCTACGTATCACGCCCTGCGCAGTCTGGACCAGCAGATGTTCCTGTGCTATTCACAGCCCGGGACGCCCCCCTTGCCATCGCCTGTTGAAGGTAAGATGGGCCCCCTTTTCTCTTTTTTACATTCCTCTTTCTGCAGAAAATAACGAATTTTCTCGGTCTCATCTCTTTTTCAGTTGGAGTGATTTGTGCGGCCCCAGCTGTAGATGGAGCCTGGTGGCGAGCGCAGGTCATCTCCTTCTACAAAGATTCAACCGAAGTAGAAATCCGATATGTTGATTATGGTGGCTATGACAGAGTCAAGATTGACACCCTTCGACAGATCAGGTTATTCCTGCCTTTTTTTATTCATTAGTAAAAGTTTCTGTACTGTTCTGTAAAGTTCTTTATATTAAAAAAAAAAAAAAAGCAAATGTCACCCATGATAAAAATGTTTTAAAATATATATAGAAATAATTTTTGCATTTGTTGTTCTTATCATAGTCTTATGCTGTGGACTCACTGATTTTTGATTTTCAGGTCGGACTTCGTGACATTACCGTTCCAAGGAACAGAAGTGTTATTGGACAACATTGCCCCACTTCCAGGTTTGCATTTATTTTAAAATTTAAGTTGAATGTTCCATCACCTCACTCCAGCTGGATCTCACTGTTGTTGACGTCTTCATTAGGAGAGGATCGGTTCTCAGCGGAGGCCAATTCTGCACTGGAAGAGATGACGAGAGGGGTTCCATTGCTGGCACAAGTGAGTCTTTAAATCATTCATTAATGGATGACATTTATGTTGATGTTTACAGCCAACAGATAATTTAACGGGCAATTTTGTCATATAGGTCACCAACTACGACAATAATACAGGACTTCCCTTAGTACACATGTGGAACATGGTGGGAGAGGAGGTAAAATTATTTGATTTGATTTGTTTAATAAATTATTAGTGAGAAGGGAGGAAAACATTAATTAAGTATCATTTATTTTATTATTTTTTTGTTTTCAGTATTCTGTGTTCATAATTTATTTTTCTCAAGCATTTTATTTTAAGAAATGTTTAATTTCACACCAAGGATAACTATAACGATAAAAAGTATACAGATGTTTTTAAAATCATTCTAAATGTAAAAGAATAGCAGAGTCCACGCCACAACTAGAACAATAATGGCACAGAGAAACAATATCACTGGAATCATATGATAAATGATTTGTTCTAGCTGATAAATGAAAATGTTGACAGCCAATCAGAATTCGTTTGGCTTTTAAGAGTTTAAGCATTTAAACTGGCAGGTTGACAGAACTGTCTTTTTAGTGCATTGGTGTGGATGCTAATATGCCTTCATTATATACCTATATTCGCGTGGATGCTAATATACCTCACCTTCATGTCTTTGATAATGAGTAGCATGAATAACATGATGCTACTTGGTATCTTTTTTTTTTTTTTTTTTTTGTTGCTGGTCCCTCTC